CAGGTTATGATGTCTTGTATGAAATATGGGCTATGAAGTCAAAAATAACCGACCTGAGGTCATAACATGATAAAATAGAGGTGAATTTTACTAAAAATAATCCTAATTTATACCACCTACATTTTACATGGGAAAAAAAGAGAAAGAATAATGTAAAATATTTTTCTTTTTAATATGTGTATGTAAATGAATTTCCCAATAATGAACCAGGAAGACAAAATAGTGTAATAACTGGCAGGGCCGTTTGAACATTAATCCAATATGGATGAAATATCTACATATTATGCACTTCCTAGTAAATGTAAATAAGTTATTGGTAAGAAGTGGATTACTGGATTCCCAAGATAATTACGTCTGCGGAGAAAATTTTTCTGTGAGATGTAAATATGATAGGCCCTAAAAAATTATGCGCCATTAAAATTTTATGTATTTTCCACAATTAATTTTAGAATAAATCGTTATTTTCAAGGTTCTAACCTAACTTTTTTTCAGCTAACTTCCTTGGTACACTTTTAAAGTTCTTAATTAGTTAATTTAACTTGTGGTAGGTAGTATTATTCATAAACATCTGTTTATTTTTCTCAATAGTTTAGAACAATATCACAAAAAAATATTTTTTGAAAACAAATTGGATAAGAAAATGGCCACTAATGGTGTTTGGTTTGGTTTGGTTTGGTTTGGTTTGGTAGACGAATAGTTAAATTCGTCTATCAAGTTAGATTTTCCATAATTTTAAAACCTTAAAGTTTGCTTTCTTTTTATGAGGTTAGGATTTCTTTATTAATAACCTCAAAGGCCAAATTTCCTGCTTAAGTTATTTTTCCTTCGAGGTGCAAGTTAAAAAATGGGCTATATTAGGTCGAAGCTCATTTCTCGAAGTCTTGAATACATTGTTGGAGTATCGCCGGTAAAACAGAAATCTTTTATTTTCTTTGAGTGACAGTGACAGTTGACAATGACATTTTATGCTAAGTTCGGTAATTACATCTTCGAGCAATCCGATTAACTTTTCACAGTAATCACAGAGAAGAACAATGTAATCATGTGTCCTAAAATGAGAATCTTTATTGAGAGTCACGTAACATGTCAAATTTCTATCCTTTTGCTGGCCGATGCAATTACCGAACTGGTCCATAGAGAAACTTAATCAATGAAGAACTGGCCTAAACTAGAACACTAACCTGTGCACTAACTAACTAGAAAACTAAATTAGTTTTCTTTGCTTATTATTTTTAAAAGTTTTGTGTTTTGGGATTGTGAGTGTTATTACAGAGGACTTTTTGTTTTTATTGCACATAATGGACACGTTTACGATTGTGGCGGTAATAAAAAAGAAACGCATTGAATATTCTTTCGTTCCCAACCAGTGGGCACAAGGTAATGTGATATGACGTAATAATTCCTCAAAAACTTTTTTAAACGGAAATCACAAAAAGGTAATTAAAAAAGGTAATTTTTAACCTGACGTATGTCTGACTTTCTTCCAAGTCAAAAAACTAAGTTACTTTTACCTTTGAAGCATAATAGCGATTTATGAGGTCGAAATAAATTAAATTTTCAACCTAATTTGAACTCCTCTAAAAAAGGTCTAATTTTAAGTTATTAACAACTAAATTTTAACCTAATTTAAAAACCAAACAATGCCTTCGACCCCCGAGACAAATTTGAGGTTATAATAAAGTAATATTTGACCTACTTTAAGTCCCTGTAGTCTTAATGCCCTCAATAGGTTATCAGTAACTAGATTTTAATAATGCCAGCTAACTCCAAAGTTGCTACTTTTCAAAGGCATAATTTTAGGTTATTATTAACTAGTTTACGACCTCATTTTTAGATTTCTCGCACTTTATTCCCTACAAGAAATTTATTAAGTTAAGTATTATGTATTTATTAGTATAAGTAAAATTCAACCAAATAGTGGTTAATTTTCCATGGTCAATGGTTTTTTCTTCTTCCTATGCTACTTGGGTTGAAAATATACTTGAGTATATAATGAGTGATTCCGAAGAGGAATTATAAACTGTATAATGTAAAATTAACAATATATAAGCGATACCAATTAAACTTTTAGTTACGTAATCGAGGGCACGATTTTTAAATTCATTGTTGCCAACCATGAACATATTCGGCGCCGTGCTGACTAACTGGAATTTAAATTTCCCGCTGGGGATTCAGGTGGTAGCTCTGCTGTAAAAAATGTCAAATTGCCACATTTATTTACTTATTTCCTGACATTGTCATTCGTTTTAACCCTTTCGTTTTGTATTACTAGTTTTTGGTTTAAATGAATTGTGTTGTGATACTTTAAGTTTAAAAATTTTTACTGGCAGATCTTGCAGGCGAACATTGTTCTTTTTTGAACCTCTTTTAGTGTGAAGGGTACAAGATAGCTTAATAGCACGATTTTTTTAAACTCATCGCATCTTTATTAGAATATTTTTAACGGAAAAGCCGTAGTAATGGCCTTTTATGTCCCTTAAGTGCTGTAAAAATGTAAGTTTTGTTGACATAAATAATAACTGTTTATATATCTATAATTAATTTATTTTTGTTTTCTGAACTATTTTCATAAAAAGAAAATATGTAAAAATAGGCAACGCGGTGCCGGTCAAGGTTAATCACGTGACTAAATGTTTATTTGATATGAACTTATAAATGTCATTATAAATATATAATTCTACAGTCTTGTTTAAAATCGTAAATACAATGTAAATGCAGCTCTAAAACTTGCAGTATTTCCAAAAAGACCCGAGTTCAAACTCTATTGTCCTGCTCTGTATTAAGATACAACCGAAGTAAGGAAACGTACTTAAAATAAACCTGACTCCAGTTAATGTTTTAAAGTTATGTAGAGCTCGCTCCTGGAGATCTCCTTTTACGGCTTACATATTGCTTGGGAAAGGTGAAGCTATCGTAAACTGGCGGCAGTTTGGAGATTTATTGATGTCGACGAAGTAGAAAAAAAGCAGCAGCTGAGTAATAAAAAATCGAAAACCAGCACTGAATTATTTAAACGTAAACAAGATCGTAAAATTCAGATTTGCCAATTTTCATTTTATTTACGGTAAAAGTAAGGTGGTTTTCTTGGGGGAATAGGTACGAGTGAAAAGCAGTTTTTTATCTTCATGCAGGTGTCCCAATACAACTACGAATTTTTGGATGGTTTAAGTATAACTTTTTTTTAAATTAATAATTTAAGAGTTATCAACAGAAAAGTTGGCTTTTTATTTTGGACACCCTGTATATTTTTGATTAAATGAGAAGGACTTAAAATTACCTTTCCAAAAATATAGCACACTTGATATTTTGTCTCCTTCGAAATACAGAATTTTTAAAAGTTCACCACTTTTAACTAGTAGGCTTTGGACCCCTTATTGATGATAATGCCCCTAATAGAACTCGAGAACATATTTTTCCAGCAAGACAAAGCACCGCCTCAGAACGCTGAAGTTATCAGCAAATTTTTGCAGCCAGTTTCGAGAATAATTAAATAGCTAACCAAAATCCCAGCCGTTGGCCATCGAGGCCGCCGGACTTAGTGCCTATGGATTTTGATCTTTGCGGAAGAATAAAAGTTCTTATTTTTAAATTGCCGTTATAATCTAGACATTTTCATGCATCCATTATACGTTGATACGATGGTCCGACGGTGCTCTGATCAGTCATAGCGTTTTCCGCGCCACTTTTCATCCGTAAATATTTTACTTCAGCCCGTCAACGGACCCGTTCGTACGATAACTAAATGTTTTGATGTTGTTAAATATAGTTTAAATTGTTATAAAATTCTGCATCTCTCATTGCAAATATTATTTTCGTTTTAATTGCTGTTCATAGCTAGATTTTTTTTGGATTACAACCGGCGCCGTGCAAAGCCTACTTATTCAAAATGGGCGAATTTTTAAAAAATCTATATCTCAAAGAGCAATCAAGAAAAAAATTTAGTATGCTATATTTCTGGAAAGATCGATTTAAATTATTTTCAATGCATTAAAAATATACAGGATGTCCCATATAAAGAATCAATTTTTTTGTTGATAACTCTTAATTTATTAATTTTAAAAAAATTACACTTAAACCATTAAAATACAAAAATTATACAGCAATTTATTAAAAATGCACATTTTTGAAGAACACCCCGTAACTCTGGAACGGTAACAGATGTGCGGTTTTCACCTTGATGTTTTTGATAAAAATTGAGCTCTATACACCGATATCAGTTTTCATCTATCTCCTATAGAAAAGGGTGTTTCCCTTTAAAGTATCCAATTTGACCCACCCTGTACATACATAGGCTTGAATTTGAAACAACGATGATTTGAGCGATTTTATAGCAAGCAGAAATAAATATTTTTTTGATCTCCTTGTTCGATATTTAATCAGTTGATTTGGACAGATCGAATCTGTCAACTTTCCTGAACCTCTACACCAAATTTCAGCTTTCAATATGCCGAATTTATGATATAACCAATGTTTATTCAAAATATATATTTAAAATAACAAAGATACTACCACTTTTAGTGTGAAACGCCAACACTGTAATGTGGACAATTATTTAGACAGGTGCGTGGATGCAAAAATCCAAATTTAAAAAAAAATCCATCACCGGTTCTTCATAAACGTCTAACGTACCCTGACCATGAATCACCCTGTATACATTAAAAATTATATTGTTTATATAAAAATTAGTTGAATTAAGGCTAGGCGTATCACATTAACCACCCAGTAAGTATACAATCCGCGCAATATCGAATTTCCGAGAAATGATTTTATTCGTTTACTCCGAAAAGCACTTACCGCGAAAAGCTCCGGCCCCGAGGCGGTGTCGTTTTTCCAAAAAGCGACGGGAAAAATCGGCCGCGCTGCATTTTTAAGCTCGATCGCAAGTAATTATTTTATTTGTGTAATTAGTCTTTGCGATAACCCGCGATATTAATACGACCTCGTCTATTAAATCTCGCGTTTAGCTCGAAATTCAGTCGCTTTCACACTTTTTAGTCGAAATGATCGTGAAAAACGTCATTTTATTCGGTATACTCTGTGTAACGTGCCTATGCACCACGGAAAAAACAATATTCCGCAACGGATGGTACAAAACCAACAGAAGCGGAAAGAAAATAATGGTCTCAAAAGTGAAATCCATCAACCCCCACGATTTTCCTGCCTCAAAGTACCTCAAAGTGAGTTCAGTTATTCCAGAACTTTACCAAGACTCCGTTAAAGACCTCACAGAATTAGAAGACCTTGTCTTGACTGAGTGTGGGTTACAGAACATCTATCCTGGAGCTTTTCAGAACTTACCCCGACTCGCCATAATCAATTTAAGAGATAACGGTATCAAATCAATCGAAAAAGGTGTCTTTAATGACTTAAAACTAAAAATTCTGTTTTTGCATAAAAACGAAATCACTCACATCGATGGGGAAGCTTTTGACAACATGACTGCATTAACAAAAATCAAATTAAACCACAATGCACTCACTACCTGGGACCCAAACTGGTTTAAAAATACTCCATCAATTGAAGTACTGTCTTTTAGAAGAAACTCAATAACCGAAGTTCCAACCAACGCTTTTAAGAACTTTGCAAACACGGACAACCTCATCATATACCTGAGCAACAACAATATATCAAGGATATCGCCCAATGCATTTACTGGACTTGTAAAGGTAAATGAGATATGGTTGGATAGAAACTGGCTTACTTCAGTTGACGAGTCGGCTTTCACAGGTGTTCAGCAAATTGAGAAACTAATGTTTATGAGGAATAAAATAAGAACCTTACCAGATGATGTATTTAGCACTGTTAAAAGTATTACGCATCTTAATATGGGTAGTAATCATTGGTTGCAATGTATTCCTGAAAGTATCGTTAAAATAGTAAAGAATTTTGATATGGCTAATATTAGGCATTTGGACTGTGTTTGTGTGAAAGATTTGAAGCAGAAGTATAAAGTGGAAATTAATATCAATGGAAGATCAAAGTGTGGATAAATTAGTGTCACATAAGAGTTGAAATGTTAAAAACTAAAAATGTTTGAGTGAAATAAGTGTATTTGATAAATAACTGAATTTTAATGTTAGTCAAAATATGTATATTTTTCATAATACCAGGAAATATTTAAGAATGATCGAAAAAATGTTATGTTATCTTTCTATTTTTCGTTCTAACATAGTATTTTCAAGTTGTTTTGCATATTGTCATCTAACGTTTTCTTTTTGCTTTGACATATTGTCACAAATTTAAAGGCTGTAAATTAAAAGGCATGTAAAGTACCAGAAAACTAGATATTTTAACATACTGCACAAATGATCGAGAAAAAACGGCGTCAGCGATGGCTATGGAATGAAGATCGCTGTCATTTTATATGTAAATTTATATGGGAAATGTCATCGATGTTCATTTCCCAGCCAACTGGACGCCGTTTTTTTTCGATCATATGGTACCAAAGTTTCCAAACTAAAGTTATGTTTTTTGTAGTTTAAATAAAATATATTACTGGGGCCTTAAACATTATTAAAAATATATATATTATTATACAGGGTGTCCCAGAAATAAGTGCAAGTATTTTAAGGGGTGGTAGATCTCGATAAAAGAAACATATTTTCTCTTTATCGTTTTTCAAATAAGTCCAAAATAAGTTATTTTACTTTGAAAATTTCCAAAATAAGTGATTTTTTGCTAAAATTTTGAGAACCACTGGATCTTTTCTAGATTTTCTTTCGTGTAAATTTAATCTACTACTTATGTCACTATATTATCAAGAAATTATTTTTTTGAAACAAAAACTAAAAAAAAATCCAAAAAAAAATTTGCGGAAAAAACCCATAGGCATGTTTCTGGGGTTGAACTATACCACCAGTAAAAATACTTGCACTTATTTCTGGGACACCCTGTATATTATAGGTGAATCTTAAATACATGCAAATATTTTCAGAGGGCTGGTAGATCTCGATAAAAGAAACATATTTTCTCTTTATTGTTTTTCTAATAATTCCAAAATCACAGTTATTTTACTTGGAAAGCACTTGATCTTGAATGAAAAATTTAAAAAAAATCTATTTTTTTCGAAAAAAAAAATTTCGATTTGGATAATGGTAACCTCGGCCTGCTCGTCAATATAGACGAGTCGGCAGAAAACCCCCTCTGTGTCAGCAGAAAGCCCTCACCCTGTATAGCGCATTTTCTGTCTCATTAGTTAATAAAGTACTTAAAATAGCGTAGTTTAGAAAAAAAAGAATATTGCCTAGTTTAAGGTATTTATTTAACATTTATGTATTTCTCTAATTAATTAATTATTTTTGTGTCATTAAATTAATGACGTTTTATATATTTAAATTGTCGACAAAAACATTCTCAGATTTTTTTTTTCAATTATACAGTTTTAGTTTATATTTTAAGTAGTAACATACGGTTTAGTTTATTATTGTTTTAGAGAAATTTTAGTTATCTTATTATTAATTTGTGTATATGTGTATGTATATCTCTTTTCATTTAATTTGGTTTTAATAATCAAATATCAATAAGTAAACAATATATCTTGAACTTTAACAGTATTACAAATTATAAATAATGTGATTAGTGATATTTGTAGGAATTTCAAAGAAATAAACGAATACAAATATGTATATAAATTTGTTTTATTTAATGAACATTTAACATTTAAAATTCAATTAATAACTTAAAGTATGTTAATTAATATATTGTTGCACACTGGTTATGTTTTTTTGAAGAATGATACTAGACCAGTAACAACTCATCCATAGATAACAATGTACCATCTTTTCATTTCAGTTATTTTCTTTTATCTATTACTAGATTTTGTGTAATTACTACTGAAGAACTGTGTACATTGAAATCCAAGATTTTCTTACTATTTAATTTAAATTTTTCAAACAAAAAACAGTTTATTTTTAATTCCCCATACTTTATTATTTTAATTAATTAATTAATAATTATTATTATTTATTAATTTTATTATTCAGGTTTATTTATTAAATTTATTTTTTTTTCTCTAGATAAATAATTTTTTATCATAATTTTTATTATTTTTAATTTATTATGTATCTAAAGATGGTAATAGTACCTTAGTACCCCACACTTGAATGTTTTTGAATATACCTTTAATTGTATATTATAAGTACGATAAATAATTATAGCGAGGTCAATCTCTAGACATGATTTACTAAAAATGTGTGGACATAAAACTTGTCAAAGATTCACACTAATTATAGAAAAGATAAGTTACTACAGACACACAAATCTATTTTTAAAAAATATTTTTTTCTCGAATTAAACATCATTTAAAAATTATGTTTATTCAATATAAAAATAAATTACACCCTTCTTAGGACCAACCGGTAGTAAGCGCTATTATAAAATAAAGAAGGGTACGGCCCAGTAATTGACGTTTAGAGCTTGACCTCGCCAAAATTGTCATGGATATTCATCCCCAGTCGCCTTTGACGCCGTTTTTTTTTCGATCGCATGGTAAATTAAAATTAAAACTGCTTTTTATTTATTACAGATATTAAATAATTTGGTTTGGTTATAGTAAGATAAATTTCTAAAATAAATTTTATAAAAAAGTATCTCCAAATAGTACCGATTTAAGTTTGTGCTTATGAAACTTTACTATTCGCCAGAAAAATAAATTCTTATTTCGCAGTTTTAAAATGAGAGAAAAATAAACTATAGAGCAATAAAAACATTTTCATTTTATTCCAACTCATTACATCGTCTATTTTTGAATATTTTGAGGTTGTAGAACTTTGAAATAAATAGAAATTGTACATTATCGGATATTCTGTTCAAGATAAAAAAAATACAAATTGTTAGTGTGCTTTTTTATATTTAAAAATATTATTATATTATTAAATTTTTATTTGTAATTTAATAAATCTTCCAGTTTTTTAATCACTACTTTTTTTGAATACCTTATTTTTGTCCTAGGCATCGATCACCAGGATCATTAGCCATATACAATTCGTTATTGTTAAGAATGCAATTACAGGGATCTATCTCAATATTCTCAAGGGGTTCACTCTTACAAGGACAATTCAAAATTTAAAAATCTACATTGATATTAACATTTCAAGTTGAGTGACAAAGGATCAAAAAACTAAACACAAAAAAATAACGATACAAAAACAAACAACAAGAAAAATAGATAACTATTAACATCACAGTATCGCAGAGTATGGATTAGAGTATCACAGTTGGTGGTATATATTAATATCTTTCATAAAGTTCAAACTATTTTTAATGTTTTCTTCTTCGGTTAAATTTTCAAGAATTTCATCACGTATATCGAATCTACTTCTTTCTACCGCATACTGAGGACATTCATATGTGAGTTACTGTCAACTCAACATCACAGACTATGCACATTGGAGGTATTTCTCTTTTAAGCAGATATGCATGAGTCACCGCAGTATGGCCAATACAAAGACGATGCGCTCTGGATTCATCCGCTCGTCCTAGTGCAAGATGTAAGGATGGGATTGACGGATCCTGTTTTATTGCGCGAAAGCTTTGACGGTTTACCTGCCCACTCATTTTGCCATTTCCTTTGTGTTTTTTTATGCAGTAGTACTTTAAAATCATTATTATTAATATAAGGGAAACCAACGGTATATCTTCTAGCAGCTTGCTGAGCAGCTTCATCTGCTATTATGTTGCCAAGTATATTAGTGTGGCTTGGGACCCACACAAACGTGAGTTTGTTTCCCTTTCCTTTTTCCTTTTTCCCTTGAACACCTATTAATGTCTCTCATGTAAATTTTCTTATAATTGCATTAAACTATCTGCAAGAGCAATTAAATTTTTTGTTTTCTAATAAAAATAATATAAAAAATAAATTTTATATTTTTTAGGTGGTAAGTAATTTTGTAGGTGCGAATCACGTCCAGAATATGTCATCATCATCATCATAATCATCATTCTCCACTTAATCAACCATTTCCAATTATGGTGTAGCCTCACTCACATGTTTAGATACTCTCTTTGTAGTTGGGCCCATTGCTGTTTATTGTTGGCTATGCGAGCCCAAGTTATTCCTGCTAATTTCCTAATATCATGGTCCCATCTCAGGTTTGGTCGTCCTCTAAGTCTCTTAATTCCTCGTGGGTACCATGCTGTAATTTTTGTGGTCCATCTGTTGTCCATCCTTCTTGCCAGGTGTCCTGTCCATTATCAGATAAGAGATTTGATTCTGTAGATGACATCTATTACCAGGGTCTTTTGTCGTATCCACTCTATTCTTTTACGGTCTTTCTTGGTGATTCCCAGCATAGTTTGTTCCATTGGGCATTGTACGACCTACAGTTTTTTTATAATGTTTGTTTTAAGAGTCCAGGTTTCGCATGCATAGGTCGTGACTGGTAGTACACATTGGTCGAATGTTTTCTTCTTTAGATAAAGTGGCATTCTAGATGGGAATATGATTGAGTTTCTTCCATAAGTACTCCATGCTTACTTAATTTTTCGGTTGATTGCTGGTAGTAGATATCCCAAGCTGTGTATTAGTTGTATTAAGCATATCGCGCACTTATGCGAAGCGCGGCGCGGCGCAGTACAATTTTTGATGGGTCCGCTAACTTATGCACGATTTTTCGTACGCGGTTGGTATTTAAAGTTTAAAGTTATTTTCAGCTGACCCTTCAATTTTAGTATTATCTCTGTGACGGTTTGATATAAAGGTGGATTAAAACTGCATTATGTCCTGAAGTTCCAGCAGCAGTTCAGAGGGAGATTTTCTTATTTTATGTACAATAACAAAAGAAAAAGAAATGCGTGAGAACAAAAAGAGAAAATCTTGGATTGATAACATTAATATAAACAGAAATGTGTACGGAGAATACACCTTTATTCAGATTTGAGGAAGTCGAAAGCTGGAAGGCGAAAGAAAATTTTTCAAGTATTATAGAATGACCCACCAAAAAATTTACTGAACTTCTTTCTTTGTTAAGACCAACTATACAGTGTCAAAAAT